AAATAAATAAATAAGAAAGGAAAATATTCCAGGGCCTGAGACAGTGGGTAGAGTACTCACTTGACATCCCAGACATTTGAGGTCATCCTCTGCTATGTGGTAAGCTCCAGGCCAGCCTGGGCTACATAAGACCATCTTTAAAAAAAAAACAAAAACCGGAGCTGACTAACTAACTTTTTCTGCTTCTGGTGTTTTCCTCTGTTGGCTTCTGAGTGCCCTCAGCGGCACCCACAGGGGTCTCCGTCTCCAGGCTTTTGCCCCGCAGTAAACTCAGTCCAGCCTCTGGGCCTTTGCTCAGGTTATTCTGAGTACCCAGGGTCCCCATCTTCCAGCCTGTCACTCTGCACTCACACACACCGCCTGTGGGACAGCTACCTACCTGGATGGATGACCATTTAAAATCTTAACCGGGCAGGGTTGTGCACGCCTTTGATCCCCACAGAGGCAGGCGGATCTCTGAGTTCGAGGCCAGCCTGGGCTACAGAGCGAGATCCAGGACAGCCAGGGCTACACAGAGAAACCATGTCTAGGAAAAAACTAAAATAAATAAATAAATAAATAAATCTTGGCCCAGAGCAAAGCTGGGTGCTGTGTGACGCGCAGCCTGTCTGTGTTTTATGTATATATGACACACACACACACACACACACACACACACACACACACACACACGTGAGCCACTTCACGGCACCTAAGTCACACACAGCTGATGACAGCCACAATTTCCGCCGCAGCGGAAAAGCACATTGATGCTACAGAATCACCCGGGGCACCTTCCCTAGCATACCCTCAAAATCCCTGTGTGCATCCAGGATGCTCCCAGAATGCTTCTCTTCGGGGCCCACAACCCTGGCTTCCTCCACACCTAGCGCATCCACAACCTCTGACATGTGAGCAATTGTAAAAAGGAGTGTAACTGGGCGGTGGCACTTGGGAGGTGGAGGCAGGAGGATCACGAGTTTAAGGTCATCCTCCACTACATAAGGAGCTGGAGGTAACCTGGACTACAGAAGTGGAGCGTTCGCATAGCGTGTTCCAGGCCCTGTGCTCTGTCCACAGCGCGGCAGAGTTAATTAATAAGAAAGTAAGGAGTTAAGTGTTCCATAGACCCTGAGCACCGCCTCCCCTCACTCTGATTTATATCTTAGTTGCACTAACGTTTTGTTGCTTTATTATTATTATTTTGCTTCCCCCCACCCTCCAGACAGGGTTTCTCTGTGTAGCCCAGGCTGGCCTTGAACTCAGAGAGTCATCTGCCTCTGCCTCCTGTGTGGCAGGATTAAAGGTGTGCACCACCACCAACGGGCCCCACCTGTATTTTTATTTGTTTGTTTTCCTTTCTTCTTATTCTTTTTTCTCTTTTTTCCGAGACATGGTTTCTCTGTGTAGCCCTGGCTGTCCTGGAACTCTCTCTGTAGACCAGGCTGGCCTCGAACTCAGAGATCCACCTGCCTCTGGCTCCTGAGTGCTGGGATTAAAGGCGTGCGCCACCACCGCCCGGCTAAATTTTTTTTTCTTTTATACAGGGTCTCCACGTGTAGTCCTATATGGCCTAGGACTTGCTATGCTGATCAGGCTCGCCTCAGGAGTCTTCGAATCCTCCTGTCTCCACTTCCTCAGAATTAAAATGGAGTGCTACCCGCCAGACTTTATTTAATAATCTGTCATCCTATTGATTGCTGGGAGGTCCTGAAGGTCGCCCAGGCTAGCACTTTCCAGCCTTTCCCTCCAGTTCTCTGACACTCCCACTCCCCTCCCCTCCCCCTGTGTGGTGGGGAGAGTGGGGTCCAGGCCCTGGGCCCCTTTCGCGTTCATCAGAAAACTGGGGACGATGAGGTCTGGGGTGCTCCGCAGGCGATGCTGGTCTGTCCAGGCCCCTAGGGAGGGTCCAGCCTGTGGTGACAGCTGGACTTGCAAGACTGAATGAATTCAAGTCGTCCCTTGAGGTCCGCAGCCCACTAATCCCAGACCAGCACCAGTCTCTGGGGAAACCGAGGCAGGTGGGAGGAGCTTCAGCCGTGGGCGTGGAAAGTGTCCTCTGAATTCCGGCCGGTGACCCCGCCCCCCGTTGCCTGGCTTCGTCCCGTGGCCGAGGTTCCGGGTCCCCCACCCCCCCCGCCAGGCTCACGTGGCCGCCCCTCGTCCTTCCCACCTTGGCTGGTGTCACTGCCTGGCCCGGGTTACCACTTCCCCTGTGGGGACCTCCTGGGTTTCCCCTTAGAAGGCAACCCGTTAGTACAACACGCCAATCCAGTCTGTTTGGGTGCTCGAAAGGCACTTTTATTTATGTTTCTGAGACAGTGTCACTACGTAGGTCTGGCTGTCGTGGAACTCACTGTAGCCCAGGCTGGCCTCGAACTCACAGAGATCCGCCTGGCTGTGCCTCCCAGGTGCTGGGCGCCACCACACCCAGCTGAACTCTACTTTTAATTCGGTTTATAAAGATGTGTTGGAGACCTGGGGAGGGATCTATGCTTTGATGTAAAAAACAAAATAAACATGGGGCAGCCTTGAAAAATATCGTTAATATTGATAATTGTAATAATGAATGAAAAATATCATTAAGTAAGGACCCGGACGTTTGGAGGCCGACATCCCCTGCGGTCCAGCAGAAGGGGTGCAGAAGGGGAAACTGAGGCCTGGAGTTCGCTCTCACTCCCGCTCCACCCCCTCCCGAGAGCCGCGGACCCACAGCCAGGTCGTCCGGTGGCGGAGCCCGAACCCAGCGGGCCTGGGAAGCGGGACTTCGCTTGTCCCTCCTCCCTCCCCCTCCCTCTCCGGACCTCTCCCACGACCGGAGAGGAAGTGGGAGAGAAAAGGACGCGGAGGTGAACAAGGAAAACAAGAAATAAGCCGGGCTGCATCCCGCTTCCCCACCTCCCGCCTCCTCCGTGCCGCTCCGGGGTCGCGCCGCTCGGCGAGGGTCCGGGTCCACGCCCCGCCTCGGCCGGGCGGGCTCACCGGCCGGGGGAAAATTACAAGGCCTGGAAAACAACCGTCCTTCCCCGCCCCTCGCCAACCCCTTCCCCGCGCTACGCCCCTGGCACAGCCGGGTGGAGGCGACTGTTTTATGTAATCGCGGGGCGGCAGGTTTGCTAGCTGGCTGCAACGGTGAGGGAGGGACCCCCGAGCTCAGCTGCCACCTAGGGCCCTGCAAGCCTTCCCCTCGGGGGTCCCTGGCACGGCTTTGGGTAAACCGAGTCCCAGATAGGGGTAGACGGAGACCCGACTCTCTGAAGCAACCCAGCTATATTTGCAAACAGCTCCCCTTCCTCTGGGTCCTTCGCAGTTTGGGTAAACTGAGGCTTATGGTGGGGGTTGGGGGGCCCGGAGCTCAGATGTAGGCTCGTGTGTTGCTTGCAAATACCCTTCCTCTTTCTCTCCTGGGCTGCTGGCACTTCTTGGGTAAACTGAGGCCCAGGGTGACAGTACGGAAAGCCGGGCGCTCCGAGGCAACCTCGCTGTCCTTGCAACAGCCCTTTCCTTCTCCGTCCAGTCCCTTGCAACACTTGGGGAAACTGAGGCCCAGGGGAGGGCGATGAGGAATCGCGCCATCGCCCTGGTGGCTCGGGAGAGAGGTGTGGCGGCAGAGGACCGTCGCTTCCTCGCCCTCCCCTCAGCTCCCGGGGCCAGCGCGCCCCCCACGCCCCAGCAGCGGGTCCTCCGGGTGCGCACCGCGCTCCCGCCCCCGCTGCCAACCCGCCCCGCCCCGCCCGGGCGTCGGGGGCACAGCCCGCGCCCCCTGCACCCCGCCCTGCGCGCACAGGCCGGGGCTGTTTATCTGCGGCCCCCACCCCCTGCACCCGAGGGGCCCCTCTTGCCCGCCCCCAGCACCCCGGGGTGCTCCGGGCCGTAGATAAGCCAGCAGGCTGGCACGGCGCCGCGCACGGGGCGGAGAGGTCACGGGCTTGCCAGGGGAGGGGCCGATGGGTCGGGGCTGCGCCCCCCGCCCGTCCGGCACCCCCAAATCCCTAATCGCAGCCGGATCTACTCTCGCGGCGCAGCCCCGCGGGACGTGGCAAGAGCCGACCTGCAGAGCCTGTTCTGGCCGCGGCGGCCGGGGGGGCGGGCTGGGCGTGGGGGTGCCGGCGCTGCGGCACCTTTAAGACGAGGGAGGACCCCTCTTGCCCTCGGACAAACCAGGAAGGGAGTCGCGAGCATCATACGGGGCTTTGCGTACAGTACGGCTACTGTAGGGCAGTGACGCCGCCGCCCGCCCGAGCGAGGTCCGCGCCGCGGGCAGCCCCGATCGCGCGTCCTCCGGGCCCGGGTCCCCGCGAGGTAAGCCGCCCGGGCTGAAGGGGACCCCTCTCCGGGAGAGGTGGGTTTTGTTTTCCTTTCTTTCTTTCTTTCTTTTTTTAATTCCCTTGCAGGGTGGGGACGCGGCCGGGGGCGCAGTGCGCACCCCGAGCGCCCATACGGAGCGGAGACGGGCTCGAGGAGGGATCTGCGGTGCCTCCGCAGCTCCGGGGTTCTGGAGACCAGGGAGTGCCCGGCCACAGCCGGAGGCTAATCGGGGCGGGGGGGGGGGCCTCCGCCCGGGTCCCTCCGGGGCGAAGGGCACGAGTCCGCGCCCGCTCCCCTCCTCCCGGTTCAGACTGCACGGCCTCGGGGTTCCCGGCGCGCGGGCCGGGGGGAGGGGAGCCGGGCCGCACCGAGGGCGGAGGTGGGGGCAGAGGGGCGCGTCGCGTGCTAAGTTTGCAATAGGGCCCGGGGCGCGCGCCGTTCCCCTTCTCGAGTGGTCGTGGGCAAGCGGGGCGAGGGGGGGGGCCTATCCGGGACTGCGCGCAGACGTTGGAGTTGGCCAGGATGGAGCTCCATGGGGGAGGGGGGATGGGGGCTGAAAAAACAGGGAGGGGGGCTTTGCAAAAAAAAAAAAAAAAAAGCTAGAGAGGCGGGGGGGAGGGAAGGGGTGGGGTGTCCGGGGGGCGGGCGCGGCCTCTCGCGGTTCTCCTGGGCGCTGTAGTTCTTTCTCTTAACTCCAGGGCTTGTTGTCTTGGAAGGTGGTCAGGGAGTCTGAACTACAAATCCCAGAATGCCCCGCGATGGCGGCGGCTCAGGGAGGGGCGTTGCGGAGGAGGGGCGGTGAGCGGCGGGCCAGAGGGCCAATGGAAGTGAGAAGCCGTCCGGCGCGGCGGCTGCATGGGGGCGGAGCCTGCGTCAGGGCGGAGCTTGCGTCTAGGGGCGGGCTCTTTCCGGAGGGGCGGAGCTTCTGCGGCTCCCTCGCTGGGGGCCGGTGGCGGTCCCGGCTTCCGGCTGCCGCCCCTCCCCTCCTGTTGTGTAACCGTCCCTAGGCCCCCCCCCTCCTCCGATTCGATATTTTTTATTTTATTTTTTCCCCTTTCCGTTTAGTTCCGGACGCTCCGGGACGAGGAGAAAGGTTCCTTCGCAAGACAGGACGTTCCCTCCCCGGGGGAGGGTGTGGTGTCGGGGGCCTCGGGGCTTCAGGCGAGGCCGGGGATGCGCGGCCTGGCGCGGGCCGGGCCGGGCGCGGGGGAGGTGACGGGCGGACCCAGATCCGGGGTAATTTGCATCGCCCTCCCCCCAGCCCGGGTGGGGATTGGCCGGGCGGCAGCGGAGGGTGGCGCGGGGCCGGGCTCAGCGTCGCCCGCCGGGGCTCGGAGCCGCCAGCCCGCCGCAGCCATCGTCACGGTCGCCGGGGCCCGCGCGCCGCCCGGGAAGGAGGTAGGAGCCGCGCGGCCTCGGCGCCGCCGTCCCGTCCCTTCCGTCTTCCCTTCCTCCTCCTCGTCGCCATCGCCACCACGTGCGCCCCCGCCGCCGTCCCCACCTGGGCCTGGCACCCAAGGGTGCTCCTTCAGTGGCGGAAGTGAGAGAGAGACGGAGACAGATGGCTTCCCCAGTTCCCTCCTCTCCTTTCCCTCTCCTTCCAAGCAGACCTACTTAGCTCAGCACTCGTGAATGACTAAGCCCAGCACCCATGGGTGACAGACTTGGCGGAAACCTGGCGTCTCCCCTCCTCCTCGCCACAGCTGCTTGCCCCGGCGAGGGTGTCTCCGACCTCCCATGTCAGCAAGCCAACCCCCCCCCACCTTCCCCCAAGCTGGGCCCAGGGCGTCACCCTGAGTGGCCGCTCCCACGCTGAGGAGGGGGAGCCCCCCAGGCACCACACTGACTACTTGCAGTTGGCAGGGCTGTGGTGGGAGAGGCCCCCAGGCCGACCCCGGCGCGGGCTGGGCCCTAGGTTGCAGCAGGGTTCTCCCAGGCGGGGGACGTCGGCCCATCCCGGGGTCCCCTCCTCGGCCCACACCTTTCCCGGAGGGCCTCCCGTGTCTCCCCCAGCTGGGCCCTGGCACCTCTCCGGGGCTGGGCTCGGGGCTCTGTTTACCGGCAGGCATCGCTGTGGAGACGGCCTGGGGGAGGGAGGGAGGGGACAGCCTGGGCTGGGAGAGAGGCAGGAAACAGGATCCAACGAGGACACTGAAATTTTAATTTGCCGGTCACTTTGGGGGTGGGGGGTATTTATTATTTAGTTGAGATTGGCCGAGGTAGAGGCCAGTCAGCTCCTGTCCCAGGAAGGGGAGCCCTACACCTCGGGTCTCAGGGGTGTTTGGGGACACTGAGGCTAGACCAGGAGAGCCCCGTGTGGCCTGGTGTGGGTCCGGCTGCTGGGCAGGACTGCCTCGTCCTTGGTGGCTTTGGGGTGCATTCTGTTCTGTTCTTTGAGGCTGTGTGACCTATAGCTCGGTCCTTGGCACATCGAAGGGAGCCGAGGCTTGGGGTGGGTAGGTCCCCGGTGAGCCGGGGTCTTCGAGGGGCAGAGGGACATGGAGGGTACAGGGGTAGACTCAAGGTCATGTCCCTAGTGGCCCTCCCTCGGAGGGGAGGGGTCTTTCCAAAAATCCCCTAATGTTCCAGGGGTGTCTCTCCCAAGAGACCCCGAGGCTGGTGTCGGGGCCTGGATGCAGTCACTAACACCTGTCACCATCGGAGGGACTCTGCCCAAGATGTCATTGAGCCCAGAGAGGGATAGCGAGATTCCAAGGTCACACAGCTGGAACCCTAGTCCTGCCCCCTGGTCCCATGCAACTGCCACCCTGTGGGCTGGGCACCTGTGGGCTGTGTGCGTCTCGACCCCAGAATCACAGTACCCACAGTCCCACACCTGGTCCCCGGTCCCCAAAGGCAGCAGAGCTGTGGTTTGTTCTGGTCATTCCGGAAGGGACCCGAGTCACCTTCCCAGGGCCTGACGTGAGGAGGGGTCCACAGAGTGACTCAGCTGTTGTCTTGGAGCCCTCCCCCAGGAGGTTACTCTGTCCTCTCAGGTCCCCTGGGGCCAGCTCAGGGCACCCCAGGGTCTGCTGGGAGTTGGGCGTGGGTCTCAGCCACCTGAGCCTCCCTGGCCTTGCCCACCTCAAGTGCCCCGGGCTCCTGACTCAAGGCCGTCACAGGCCCTGCAGAGAGCCAGGAGAGCAAGCGGAGGCAGGGCCTGCCACCCACCCAGGGGGGTCACATCCCCCTCCCCGCCTCAGTTTCCCTGACTGTCCTCTTCCCGACAGGCTTGGAGTGACTGGTGGGTGGCGGGAGCTGCCGCCCTGAGCTGGCTGAGGGACCACAGCCCTGCCAGCCCCCTGGGGTGACGTGCCCATGGCTTGCACAGGCCAGGGCCCCTGTGCCCTGAGCTCCCTGGGGGCTGTGTCGGGGGAGGGGAGAGGTGCCCTGGGAAGAACGGGTTAGGCAAGACAAGCCAGGTTCAAATTCCAGCTGGCTCTGTGGCCCTGGGCCGGTGTCCTCCCCTCTCTGATTTAGTCCCCTGTGTGTTGAGGGAGGGGGCCGGATTCCAGAGCCCTCCCAGCAGTGTCCCATGCACTACGCTGGGATGAGCTGGGTCAGCCCCCTCCTCCTCCACCACCACTGGGTCCAGCCTCATTTCACATCCACCATGTGGGATCTGGAGTGTGGCCTGAGGACCGGCCCCTCCATCTGTCCCCTCAGCAGGCTGGGGCTGGGCCACTCAGTGGCCGTCCCCACCCACACCTTTCTGGTTTGACGGGAAACAGGCTGGGGCCCACCTTGAGTCAGGATGTGTCTGAGAGGGGAGGTGGCACGTTCTGCAGGCCCCTGGGCCACCCAGGGACCTGGGGGGGAGTGCAGCTGGCTCCAGGTGGCAGGAGGGTCCTGCCAGGTCCCTTCAGACTTGCTTTTTGTGGGCATCCTGGATAACAGGTGCAGCCAGGCTCGGTTCCGGCAGGAGAAGGCTGGGCCCTCGGTCTGTCTTGGTTGCCCCCAGCGGCAGGAACCTCACTCCCTCCACTTTGGGGAAGGTCTTCCACTTGAAACTGGCCTAGGCCTCACTTCTGGCCTTCCTGGATGAGTGGCACTCTGAGCGTGGGAACAGGGTGGGCCTGGGCCCCACCCTGGAGCTGGGCTCCCCACAGGCCTGCCTGTCCCCGCCCCCACACGCACACACTTCCCACTGGGCCGCCTGCCTTCCTGCCTCTGGCCCTTTAAGGCCCGGGGCAGGAAGCCCCTCCCCACCATGGCAATAAATGCCCAGTAAATGGCGGGGCCCACTTGAGCCTGCCCGGCCCGCTGCTGCCTAGTCCAGTTGGACGGTCGGTCGGGCAGGGGGCCACCCATGCGCCCCCACTGAATTCCTGTCCCATTAGACCAGGCCTGGGGACCCGGCCAGGCGGCCATTGGCACCAGGTCAGGGCGCTGCAACCCGTGGGGACCAACCTTGCAACACAGGCCGGGAGGGGGCGGGCGCCGTGGGGCAGGGGCCGGGCAGGCTGCACCTGCACGCCGGGCCTGCTGTGTGACCTTGGGGCGGCTGCCCACCCTCTCTGGGCCTAGTGAAGGCGACTGTGAGGAGCCCCAGAGGCCCAGGGGTTGGTGGGCACTGCTGCAGGGCCGTGCTGTGTGGCCTCGGGCCTCAGCTCTGTGCTCGCTGGCCAGAGTCCCCAAGGAAACTGAGGCCCAGAGGGGTGTGGCCTCTGGCAGGAGCTCATCCAGGAACCCTGGCAACCTAGGGTGGAAGGTGGGTGGGGTGGAATCTGACCCCTCATTAGCCGGCCGCGCCCCCAGGAATGTGCAGGAAGGTGGTGGGTGGCAATTTTTCTGCCCAGTCCCTTCCCAGAAGCCCCCTCTTCCTTCCTGAGGGTGGGACCTGTGTGGCCTTGGGTAGACCCCAGACTTGGGCTTCCACCCTCCCCCACCTCCAGCTTTGCGCAGGCCTGTCCCCACGCCTGAGCGCCCTTCCTCGGTCCCTGGGGCCTGCCTGGGTGCTGTGTGACCTTGGTTATCCGAGTTGTCTCTCTGAGCCTGTCTGGACTGTGGAGGGAAGATGGGGAGGAGAGGACCCGATCGGTTCCTGAACCTTCAGAGAGGGAGGACTGATAGTCTGGAAAGTCGCTGCAGCAAGTAATCTTAGGTTAGACCTGAGGTGGGACCAGCAGCTGTCCCCTGATACTGGGTGTGTCAGCCTGCCAGGTGGGTGGAGCAGGGTGTGGGCCCGGGTCTTTGGTTCCTCTGACCTTAGCTGTGACCCTACTGTACGGCCTGGCCCCAGGAGAGGGTGCCCCACCTCTCCAACCCAGAAGGGGCCTGCCAGGGCCTGCCCCTTGCCCGGCCGCCGGCTCAGCACTGAACAGCCCCAGAAATCCCACGGAGCAGGCACAGGCAGGAGCTGTCGTGTGGGGACCCCGTGAGTGTTGGGAAGGTCTCCCTCAGGAGGGACGTAGCCCCGGAGCTGGGCAGCCTCAGCTCCCGCATGGTTGCCCGGTGTGGCCCAGCGAGGGTCCCCGGCACCCTGTGAGCCCCAGGAGCTGGGCTGGGGCTCGGCCTGCTCCTCGCCTGAGGCCCCCAGAGGCCCAGGTGGTGCTGAGGCCTAGGGTGTGGCGGGCAGGTGGTGCTTGTTCCTGGAGAGAAGGCGGGTCAGGTGTCTGCAGGGGCCCTGGGACCCAGGAGCGCCGAGCAGGAGACGGGAGCACCAGCCCTCGCCCGCCCGCCAAGGCCTCGCCCAGCCGCCCGATCTCTCTGGGTCCCGGGTCACCTCTGTCAGTGGGCTGTGAGACGTGATACAGGGCTGGCTTCTGTGACCCGTGTCTCCAGGCCTGGCCCAGCTGCGACCCGCAGGCCGGAGCCCGGGCGCCTTCGTACTTAAAATAGGGCTTCAGCAGCCCCTGGCCCTGGAGCCCAGAGCCTGGTGGGAAGCCAGGGTGGCCCTGCCCAGGCTGACTCACTTGGACTTTTTCAGGCCCCAGGGGCCCCTGGAGGGACACCTTTGAGCCATCCCAAAGGGACCTGGGTCACCCTGGCTGGGGGACATCTTTGGGGTCACGTGCCCCCTCCCTCTTAGTGGCGGGCTGTGGCGGGAGGGGACAGGTTTGTCTTGTCTGCCCACATGCTCCCCGAGGCCCAGGGCCAGACGGCAGATGGTAGCAGGGGGTGGAAGCCACCAGTGGGGCCCCTCGAGGCTTCCCAGGGCTGTGTCTGGCATAGGGTTCCCTCTATGGCCCCCCAGTCCTGCAATCACATCTGAGCCTCCCCTCCCTGTGCAGGGGTGGGGGGTAGGGGTTCTGCTCAAGCAGCTGGTGGGGCGGGAAGAGGGTGGGCGGCGGCCGAGGGGCACAAAGGACTCTGTGTCACCAGCCACTCTTGTGGGGAGAGACCCACCATGGACGGGGCCTCCCTCTCGAACCTCTGGGTGAGGGCCAGGCCAGGCCGGGGACAGGAGGGGCCCAGAGGCCTCAGGAGGCCGAGGAGGGTACAGCTTGGGCACTGTCCCCGCGGAGGACAACGTACGGTGGCCGCTGGTCCTACGGTGGCAAGCAGGAGGTTCTGGAGGAATGCGGGCCTTGTTGGGTGGTGAAGGGCAGCCTGGCTCCCTGGAGAGGGCGGAGGGGTGGGTTCAGCGCCAGAGGGTTGCACAAGGCCGTGGGCAGATGAGTCACAGCTTGGGGGGGGGACAGAGAAGAGGAGGGGTGGGGACGGGTGGGACAGTCCGATACCCCCTGCCAGGCTCCTCCAGGGATGGCTGCCCATTTGCCAGGTGGGGAGACTGAGGCCTGGCGCATGCTAGGCACCGTCCTGGGCAGCAGCGAGGTGGACTGGAGGCCCTGCCCCGCGTGGGGGCGTGGTCTGGGTGGTAGTTTGGTTTCCCGTGTTCCTGACTGGCCGTGTCGGGCCTGCGGGCAGGGCAGAAAGGGGGCACCCGAGTGTGCAGGTCCCGGGCAGGCCTGGCCTCACTGTGGGGCCCCGGATGGGTGACCTCCCTCCCCAGACCCGAGTCTGGTCCGCAGGCTCGGGGATCCCCAGCCGTTCTGTCGACCTCTTCCTCTACCGCCTTGGGGGTCTTGGTACAAACTGGGGCTTGGGAGCTCCCCTGGGGAAACTGAGGCGGCGGGGGCGGCCCCTGACAGCCACCTCTCCCGCAGGTGTCGGCGCGGAAGATGGCTGGCGGCGTGGACGGCCCCATCGGGATCCCGTTCCCGGACCACAGCAGCGACATCCTGAGCGGCCTGAACGAGCAGCGGACGCAGGGGCTGCTGTGCGACGTGGTGATCCTGGTGGAGGGCCGCGAGTTCCCCACGCACCGCTCGGTGCTGGCCGCCTGCAGCCAGTACTTCAAGAAGCTGTTCACGTCGGGCGCCGTCGTGGACCAGCAGAACGTGTATGAGATCGACTTCGTGAGCGCCGAGGCGCTGACGGCGCTCATGGACTTCGCCTACACCGCCACGCTCACGGTCAGCACGGCCAACGTGGGCGACATCCTGAGCGCCGCCCGGCTGCTGGAGATCCCGGCCGTGAGCCACGTGTGCGCAGACCTGCTGGAGCGCCAGATCCTGGCGGCCGATGACGCGGGCGACGCGGGCCAGCCCGACGGGGCGGGCCCCACGGACCAGCGCAACCTGCTGCGCGCCAAGGAGTACCTGGAGTTCTTCCGCAGCAACCCCATGAACAGCCTGCCCCCCGCCGCCTTCCCGTGGTCCGGCTTCGGGGCCCCCGAGGACGACCTGGACACCACCAAGGACGCCGTGGCCGCCGCCGTGGCCGCCGTGGCCGCCGGGGACTGCAACGGCTTGGACTTCTACGGCCCGGGGCCCCCGGCCGAGCGGCCCCCCGCGGGTGACGGGGACGAGGGTGACAGCACCCCGGGGCTGTGGCCCGAGCGGGATGAGGATGCCCCTGCCGGGGGGCTCTTCCCGCCGCCCGCCGCCCCGCCGGCCACCACGCAGAATGGCCACTACGGCCGCGCGGGGGCCGCGGAGGAGGAGGTGGCGTCACTGTCGGAGGCGGCCCCTGAGCCCGGCGACTCCCCGGGCTTCCTGTCGGGCGCAGCGGAGGGCGAGGACGGCGACACCGCCGACGTGGACGGGCTGGCGGCCAGCACGCTGCTGCAGCAGATGATGTCGTCGGTGGGCCGGGCCGGGGACAGCGACGAGGAGTCGCGCGCCGATGACAAGGGTGTCATGGACTACTACCTGAAGTACTTCAGCGGCGCCCACGAGGGCGACGTGTACCCGGCCTGGTCGCAGAAGGGCGAGAAGAAGATCCGGGCCAAGGCCTTCCAGAAGTGTCCCATCTGCGAGAAGGTGATCCAGGGCGCAGGCAAGCTGCCCCGCCACATCCGCACGCACACGGGCGAGAAACCCTACGAGTGCAACATCTGCAAGGTTCGGTTTACCAGGTGAGGAGCCGCGGGCCAGGCGGGCGGGCGGGCGGCACGGGGGGGGGGGGGGGGCGCGGGGCTCCCCGGCCTCTCCCAGTGTCTTCTACTCCTGCCTCGGCCAGAGAGAGGCCGCTGGTTCCTTAGGTTGGTGGCTGGCATCCGTCAGCCTCCGGGGTCTTGCTCTAGACGGGGCTGGAACTGGGGAGATCCTCCTGCCTCCGCCGCCCGAGTGCGGGAAAGCCTGTCTCACCACACTGGGCTCCCCAGCCCGTGTTTGTCGGGCACCTGTCTGGTGCAGGATGCTGCTGTGGCCACAAGTTCAGCTGAGCAGAGGAAGGACTTCTCACAGCGGCACAAAGGCCCCGGGGCCGGTTAGCTTGGAGAGTCTGGATCCGAGTGTTAGGTGTGGGCAGGACGGGGAAGGAGGCATGGACAGTTCAGGGGTGTTTGTGACTGGGTCTGAGGAGTCCAGAGGTGGCTCCTGAGCTGCATGGACCCAGGGCCGGCTAGACCTGTGTGTGGGGGGGTGACTGGCAGGCAGGGGCGCAGCCAGGCCCAGTGACTCAGCGTTACCCCCTGCCCTGGGGTTCCCCCGGCCACACCTACCAGGCCTGAAGAAAGAAGCCATTGTCCTAATTTCCTGGCCCCACCCGACCCCCTCCCCAGCACCCTGGCCCCCTCCCCAGAGGGCAGGGGAGGGTGGGGCCGAACCCCAGTGCCCAGGAGTGCCAGGTGGGGACAAAGAGCACCCTGGAGGCGGGTGTCTCCGTGAGACAGGGCTGGGAAGGCTCCTCCCCCGGGGAGCGTCCTGGCGACCATGGGCTCGGAGGGACCAGCATGGTGGCGGCCCTAGGCGGTTCAGGGGCCACCCAGCAGCACCTTCTCACCTGCACCCGGGCTGCACCCGAGCTCGGGCTGCTCCTTCCTTCCCCCCAGAAACTGAAGTCCAGAGAGGGTGCCTGGTGAGGTCTTTTCTCCCGGGACCTGCCTGCTTACCCCTTCTCTGGGGCCTTCCCTGCCCCCACCCCTCACCCCCACCCCCTAGCCGCCCCCTCCAGGCCGGGAGCCCAGGGGCCCCTGTGACTCACAGTGAACGTTGAGTAAGTCAGGCCTGTGGCAGCCGGGGCTATAATTACCCCGGCCGGCCGGGGCTTGGGGTGTTGAAACTGGTACTGCCTCCCACCCCTCCCCGCCTCTGGGTGGCCCCCGGTCTGCTGTGCAACCCCAGGCCAGTCAGTTTCCCCTCGGAGCCTTCTGGGGAAATCTCTGTCCACAGCTACAAGAACTTGAACCACTGGGGTGCTGGGTGGGTGGGGCCTGTGCAGGGGCAGCCGAAACCCCGGTACTGGGTGCGGATCTCGGCGAGTATGCAGGGTGGGGGGGTCCTCCCCCATGTTCTCTTGGTACGACTGAGGCAGAGACAAGGGCCTGGTGCAGAGGACCAGTGGTCATGTCCTTCAGAGCAGGAGGGAGCTGTGGAGGGATTGTTGGCAGCCTGGCAGGTGCCAGAGACGGCCCAAGCAGGAGCCAGGTCCCTGGGGATTGGCAAAGGCAGAGGGGCATCCCAAGTGGGGCCACGGGACTGAAGAGGAAGGAGTTTATCAGTCCTCATGATCAAAGAAGCTCTCGGGGTTGCCAGAGGGTTGTGGGTTCCAGGCCAGCCTGGGTTACATGGGGAGTCTGTGCTCTGAACAGGACAGACACAGATCTAAGAAATGTCACACCAGTCGGGTAAGAGTTTCAGCGAAGGGAGAGAGGGAGCAAGTGACTTCACCAGGCAGGCCAGCCCCAGGCTAGTCAGTAGGCAGGTGGGCTCTTTGTGCTTTGCACCGTTTGCGGGGCAGAGGCAGGAGGATGGCACGTTCCACGCTCTTCCTCAAGAGTACAGGGGTGTGGGGCTAGGGTGCGTGCTCACTGCGAGGGTCTCGGAGGCCTCGCGGGGTGGCTTGGGTGGGACCACTGTCCTTCCACGCATGTCTTGGGGATGTAGGACTTTTGTTTGAGACAGGGTCTCTGTGTGTAGCCCAGGCTGTCCCAGAAGTGTCTCTGTAGCCCAGGCTGGGCTCCAGCTCACAGGCCCACCTGCCTCTGCCTCCCGAGTGCTGGGATTAAAGTGTGCGCCTCCCGTGTATACACTCTTTAAGGACCAGAACACCCACCGTAGTCCTAGGCCCCCTCTCCTCACTGGCATTTTCGGGGCCTGACATCCAGCAGGTGCCCAGCAAATCAGTGTTTGTGTGCAGGGCACACCCGCCCTCACAGCCTCTGCTGCTGGGGAGGAAAAGGCGGCTTTTTGTTCAGTGTTTTTCTGGGGTTGGACAGCCATGCCAGGGGCGGGCTTTGGCCCACGCCCTTGTCTCCCCTTGGGCTTGGCCGCGGTGTTGGGGAGGTGCTGGGGTCTCCCCGGTGCCCGCTGACCGTGCCCCCTCCCCCAGGCAGGACAAACTGAAGGTTCACATGCGGAAGCACACGGGCGAGAAGCCGTACCTGTGCCAGCAGTGCGGCGCGGCCTTCGCGCACAACTACGACCTGAAGAACCACATGCGGGTGCACACGGGGCTGCGCCCCTACCAGTGCGACAGCTGCTGCAAGACCTTCGTGCGCTCCGACCACCTGCACAGACACCTCAAGAAGGACGGCTGCAACGGGGTCCCCTCGCGACGCGGCCGCAAGCCCCGCGTGCGGGGCGTGCCCCCCGATGTCCCCGCCGGGGCCGCCGCGCCCCCCGGGCTCCCCGACACCCCGCGCAACGGCCAGGAGAAGCACTTTAAGGACGAGGATGAGGACGAGGACGAGGCCAGCCCCGACGGCTCGGGCCGTCTGAATGTAGCGGGCAGCGGCGTTGGTGAGGACGGCACGGGTGGCCCCGCGGCGGCCGCCCCCGAGGGTAACTTTGCAACCTGACTCTATTCGGAACAGAACACCACAAACCAAAAAACAAAACAAAACAAACTAAGAGAGAGAAGAGAAACCACACCCACCCCAGCACCACAGCTGTCTGTCCAGACTCCCTCCATCCATCCACGCGCGGACCTGTGTGCGTGTATATATCCACGGCCGTTGCGGGCGCCTGCCTTTCTCAGATTCTTAGGACGTGGCCCCACCCGCTCCCGTGCCCCTCACCCCGTCCGCGTGGGGTCCCACCCGGGGCCCCCCTGCCTGCTCCTGGCTAAGGTGAGGGTGATGGGGACCCCAGGACAGGTGCCCGGCTCCTTGCTGGTTGGTTTTAGGGGTCTCAGACAGACCTTAAATGCTGTGTCCACTGTGAGTGGACGTTAAAATGGTCCCCGGCTCCCCACCCTCCTTCCTCAGGGCACTTACTAAAGGGGGGTGTCCCCCCGCCTCCCTGCTCCCATCCTGCCTGTGGCCTCACACCTCTGCACACCCCACCCTGGCCACCACTGACATACAAGTCTATTTATTCCCAAGCCTGGGTGGCCAGAGCTGGGATTTGGGGGGCCGCCGGGTCCCGCCATCCTTTCACGGCACTTAACACCTGGCGGGGTCCTCAGGGCCACTGCTCAGGGCGACCCCCCCAACCCTCCTGTCTCCGCTAGCCCGACCCCACCCCGTGTTCAGAGATTAAAAATTCGTCTTCACCCTGCGCCCCACTTTTTAAAGCACTTTTTAGATCTCTTTCCCCTTTTCCTCCTTACAGACAGTTTATATAGAGATATATATAGAGAGATATATATAAAATATTCTTTCCCTCAGAGGAGCCGGCAGCAGTTTTGGGGGGGGCATAGCCAAGATCGGGGGAACCCCAGGGACTCAGGCAGGGACAGGGAGAGCAAGAGAGGCCACAGCTTAATGTCACAAAACAGCAATAAAACCCCAAGATTTTACTAAACACGAAGGGAGAACACAAAAACTTTAAAAAAACAAAACAAAACAAAAACACAGCAAAAGCGGAGACAGCCAGGTGGGGATCTTGGCACTTTGTAACTGAACGGGTACTTTTCATTCTTAAGAAATGTTTACAAGTTGCACCCAGCTTCTATGAAAAATTGGAGAGAGAGAGAGAGCGAGAGAGCGAGCGCGAGAGAGCAAGCGGTGGAAAGTAACTAAGTCAATTTATTTTTGTATAAAATAAAAGAAACCCAACCCTTTGCTCCGGTGGGATGCACGTGTGTTCCCGAGGCTCAGGGCGGGGAGGCCAGGACGCCGCGGGGAGGGACCCCGGGTCCCCAGTCTGCCGGGCGCCCCGCCCCGCCGGAGACGCAGGCCCCCTCCGGCTCGCCATTGCTCCCCAGCTCAGGGATGTCCCGAGAGGGCTGGTCCCGGCCAGCCAGGCCGGCCCCGTGTGGTGGCCCCCAGGCACCCCTCTTTTTACTAAGGCACTGACTGTCCGGGCCGGCACCTGGCCCCTCGCCCCAAACTCCGGCTTCCCCCCAAAGGCCCGGTGTGACCGAGCCACAGGCCACGGACAGGGCCGGGGTTCGGGTCGTGGCTGCCGGGTGCCGGGCCCTGCGAGGGCACACGCCGCCGCCGGCGCGGGTGGGGTCCCGTGTCCCACGGCCTGTGGACGAATGTCTTCTTGGGTTCCAAAGGGAAGCTCGGTGAGAAGGCCGCTTTCCAGTCCAGCAGAGGCTTTCCTGTCGCCCCTCCTGTCCTGCGAGTCCCCCCAGATGTCTCAGGGTCCCCCCTTGGGGCCAGCGGGAGGGGCAGGCCAAGGGGCGGGGTGGTGCTGGCTCCCGCACCCCACTCCACGGCCGGGACCGAGCTGCAGGCCCGGCAGCCCCGACCCTCCACCCTGCAATAAAACCAACCTTGGCCGCACGTCATCCCGGCGGGGCCGCCGACCCGGGGCCCTCGGGGCCGCGGGCGACAGGGCCGCCCCTCGGGAATTGCACTAACCCCCGCCCCGCCCGGCCCCGCTTCCGCGCCCCCGCCGCCTCCGCCCGCCCGCCCGCCCGCCTTGCCTTAACCGCCAGCCCGTCCCGGGCCGCAGCCACCGCATGGGCCCCGCCGGACGCCTCCCCAAGGCCCGCCCCCGCCCCCACACTGCAATCACATGCTGTACATAGAATGTGGATCGATTTTTACAAATTTTTATTCTTTAAATTAAGGCCGTGATAAAAGTTGCCAAAGAGAATTGTGGAATTCACTAGAGGTTTGAGCGGAGGGTGCTGTAGGAAGGATTTTGTTCGGTTGTTTGGGGGTTCATTTGTGTGTGTGTGTGTGTGTGTGTGTGTGTGTGTGTGTGTGTGTTTTGTTTTTTTCTTTTTTAAATGCCTGGTACCAACAACAACAACAATAACAAATAGGAAAAAAAAAAAAGAGACAACAAATTCGTTACTTCCATTATGGTGAATTTCCGTGTGTGTGAGTGAGACAGAGAGGGTTCCGGGGACCCCAGGACTGGCGCGGGGACGCGGCCTGCAGCTGTCCCCAGCCTGTGACCTGAGCATAGGCCACCCCTGCCGAGTAGCTGCTGCTCTTTGCCTTCCTACCCCTACTGGCCTTTCGAGATTAAGAAAAAATAAAATAAAATAAAAAGGCAAAAAAATAATAAAAATGAAAAAAATCTCTATATATAGAAACCAATGAATGTAAACGGCAGCCGTGGCCTGCCGTGGCCCGCCGTGGCCTGCCGTGGCCCCGCCAAGCTGGGCTGGATTGGGCAGAACCAAAGTGGGCTGCCCTGGGGTGGTCGCTCGGGAGGACCCCCCGGCGGCCCCCACCTTGTCACTCTGTTTGAGCACGGCTGCCTTCCTCGAGGGGTGCTCTGGCGGGTCCCCTGGGTGGGCGGCCGCACAGTGCAGGTGGGCCCCAGGCCGGCTGTTCAGGGTCTCCTCGGTGTCCACAGTGCGAGTAGCAGGGATTAAAAGGGGGACACAGGCTGAGAGGAAAAACAGAAAAAAACAAAAAAAGACAAAAACCGACAAAAAAATAAAAAAAGAGCAAAATCCTATTTTTTGAGAAAGAAAGATATTTATATTTGCAGTTTTATTTTAAAAAGTTATTTAAGCTGAGGAAACAGCCTTCCCGGGGTTCGGGGTGGCTGGCACCGGACGGGTCGGGGTCTTGGGGGGCTCCTCACCCCAGGAACGATTATCTCAGTTCAGAATTAGCTCGCACTAAATATTGACTTACCTTGGTGGGGGGCAGGGGAGTTCAGGAGACAGAGGGCCAGGGGAGCCACGCCCCAGGCCCAGAACGAGGTGCCTTGGATTTGGGGGGAGGGGGGTCCGGAGCACAGAACAGACATTCCACTGACTGGATGTAAGAATCTTTATAAAAAAGTGTGGGAGGCAGAACAAAACAAATCAATTGATTTAAAAAAAATGCACTTTTTGGGGGTGGGGGGGACAAGCTTTAAAAGTAATAAAAAAGAAAAAAATTATGAAAACTCCGAAAAAATAGAATTCATTTTTCTTGTACATAAAAGAAAAAAACCCAACCACTAAATGCAGCCTGTTATGATGTCTCCTTGCCTGGTCTCTGTGTTTTGTTTTTTTGGGGGAGGGTGGGGATGCCTGGGAGACACCCAGTCTCTGCCCAGTCTCTCATGCCCTGTGTGGGGCCTGGCAGAGGGACCCAGAGGGTCCCGGGGTGGGTGGTGGGGTTTTCCCAGGCCACTCCTGGGGAAAGGGGTGACCTGTGGGCCACCTGGGCTGGTGACCTCAAACTCTTGGGTGTTGCAGGCCCTGGGTGGGCTGACCCTGATCATTAGGAGGGCTCCCCAAGGTGGTGTCTCTGGCTGGGCTCCAGTGACCTTATCGAGCCTAGGGGTCCGGAAACCTCAGCTGGCTGTGGACAACTTCCTGTCCCCAGGAGGAAGTGGGGACTGGGGCCCTGTCACTGGGGAAGGGGTGGGGTGGGCGTGGGGTCCACTCTCCTCTGTGCTTATCATCCCATGAGCTGTGTCCAGAGCAGTGAAGCCGTGGATGGGTGAGGTGCACTTGGGTCCTGGGTGTCGGGAACCTACCAGGCCTGAGTTCTGCCTCCGGGACATCTGTCTACCCACGGGTGACTGGGTGACTGCCAAACTCGGAGAGGCAGGGCCCCTTGTCTGGAGTGCTACCTGCTGGACCAGCTCCAGGCACTCCATTCTCAGACGGCCGTGGGCCCAGGCTAGAGCCACGGCGTGGATCAGGGCTGAGCAGGGTAGGCTCCTGGGTCTAGGGATACAATGCTCACACATGCTGGCTTGTCGGACTCGCTCTGGCGCACTGAGGTTTCCAGTCTCGAGATCATGCTATCTACTTCTTGAGCTGTCCACCAGCCCCATCCACGTGAGTGGTCACCGTCCCAGCTTCTGACCGAGCACAGTGTCCTCAAGGTCCCTGCACTCTGTGGGTTTATGTCTGAGCCTTGCTCCTGATCAGGGTCAAGTAATACTCCAGTGTGTGTGTTTTCTACACCTTTTATAGGCAGTAGTTCAGGTTTCTGTGTGGTGGGTCCTCACCCAGGCGCCCCCCAACCCCCGTGTTTAACTTTCTGACGGGCCTCCGGGGACAAGGGCTGAAGTTTTCAGCAAGTCCACCCCAGCCCTCAGCTCCCGGGGAGGGCAGGCAGGGCAGCCTGGGCTACAAAAAAACAAAACACAGACGGCCAGGACCGGCTACTCTTGTTTTTTTTTTTTATTTGCATTTTTAAAAAACAATTAAATTAGAATACAAATATTAGAAAAGAGTGCCGCGCGGCTGGCCAGGGCCCCGGCCTCCCGGCGAGTTCATGCGGTGACACCGCCAGGCCGCCCACTCCGGACCGGACCGGTATTGCTTCCTGACAGGGTCGGTGGGGAGGGCGGCGGGCGGTGGAAGAGCGAGGCTCCCGGGGGTAGGAGGCGGCCGAGGAGCCCCGAGCCCGCGGCGGGGCCGCCCCGTGGGGAAGTGAACCTGAATTGGAGTTACCGAGGTAGCTGGCTAGAAAACGACACCCCCCACGCCACGCGGGTCCGCGACACCACGTTATTGCACATTGTGGCCGCTGTCCCCGGCCGCCGCCCCACCATGGCTTCTCGACTGCGCGCCGGGGCCGGGCCGGCGCCGTCCAGTGTCCGAGGTCCCTGCGCCCCGCGGGGCCAGGCCGGCCCGGGCGCGGGGGCTGCGGCCGGCGGAAGTGTTGGTGCGCTCTCGCTTTTCTCGTTTTGTATTTTCTCATTTTTGTCACTTGACTGTTTTTATCCCCCAAGAGGAGAGTCCGGAGGTTCGGGAGCCGGGAGCCGGGGAGGGGCGGGCGGGAGGCCGGCGCGTCAGCAGGCGGGCACCAGGCCCTTCTGGAACGGGCAGCGGCGCTTCGGCCGGGGGCCCTCGTCCTCGTCCTCGTCCTCGTCCTCGTCCTCGTCGTCGTCCTCCGAGGATGACGAGCTGTCCAGTGTGAGGTCCACCACGTCGGCGCCAGGTTTCCCGTTCTCCGGGCCGCCCGCCGCCCCCGTCCCGCCGCCCGCGCCGCCCGGCGCGCCGCCCACGCTGCCCCCCACGCCGGGGGTGCTGGAGGCCGGCGGCAGCCCGTTGGCGTCCGAGGTGCCTGCAGGGACAGGGACAGTGCTCAGCCGCCGGCCCGGGCTGGCGGGCGGGCCCCGGGGCGGTCGGTGTGCGGGGACTCACCGAGCACCAGGATGGGGCCCTGGGGGCTGCAGCTCGGCTCCTTCTCCGCACGGATTGGGCGCCAGGAGCCTTCGGCCAGGAACTCGATCTCGTCCGCGTCCTCACACTCACTCAGAATCTTCGACAGCAGCCTTGGGGGCGGCAGGGTGGACAGGCTAGGCTCGGGCCTGGAGAGCTCCTACACACCATCGGGCCCCAGCGCTCTGCCCCCCAGGAAGCCCCTGCTACACTGGGTGCTGGTACGGGGCTCCACCACGGGCAGGGGCACCTGCTGAGCCTGCCAGCCCCGGTACTGATGCTGCCGTCTGCCCAGAGCCCTGGGCAAGGGAGGGCTGGGGTGGAGGACCGCAGCTGGGTGAGAACAGAGGGCAATTGAGCCCAGCCAAGTGCCCGGGGCCGTCTCACCCCCCAATGCTAGAGCTGGTCAGGGAAGCAGCCCGTCCAGCAGGGACCCAGGGCAAAGCTGGGCATCTGCACACTGAAGGAGTTGGGCTGGTGGCAGCCTCCAAGCCTCAGTTTCCCCATCGGGAGCATGGCAGGTCAAAGGCTGACCTGGCTCCGCCAGACTTGAATGGCAGGGTCTGCTGGGGACACACTCCAGTCCCTCGGCCAGGCCCAAGGGCAGGCAGAAGGCACCCGGAGTCCCAGGCAAGTGGTTGTGACGGCCTCGGCCACCTATGCTGGCTCTGGGTGACGGGCAGGAGCCTCAGGTACCAGACAGCAGACCCAGGGTCTACAGGGGAGAGCTCGGCTGTCCCAAGGGGAAACACGACCCCTCCCTCTGCTGCGGGACAGACTCCTCTCCTCAGGAGGTCACAGGCGCAGGGGACTCGAGGCAGAGGAACGCTAAGACAGGATCCTGTCCACAGCAAAGGCTCCAGCAGTTCCTGCAGCCGAGGCCACAGGCGGGCAGCATGGCCGCCCGTCTCCAGCGCACTCACCCATCTATGATCAGCTGGTCATAGGCAGCCGGCTTGTCACACACAGGGCACATCCACGTGGGCTTCTTCTCGTTCATCTGCAGGTAGAAGACGGCGTCGAAACACTGCAGGTGTGCGCAGGTCTCCGCTCGGCAGGGAACCGACAGCCGCATCTTCACCAACTGGGGAAAGGATGGGCGGGAGGTGAGGCTGTCACTCCATCACACACGAGGCTGACCACCCACGTGGCTGGGGACAGATGGGGACTCACTGGGCAGATGAGGGACACTCGCACTCCAGTAGTGGCGATCTCACTGTCGGGGTCTAGGCGAAGCTTCTCCTTGACTGTGGGGTGACGGGATGCGGCATCAGAGGGTGGGTCTCTCCACAGCTGACGGAGGCTGCCAGGACTCATGTAGGCCAGGCTGGCCTCCAAATCTCCCTGTAGCCTGATCCTTCTGCCTCCAGCAGCTCCCGAGTCCCTGCCTGGGCTTCTCTTCCAGCCAGCCCCACAAACCCTGATGCAGTCCACACAGGGGCCCCGTGGGCTCCTGAGACCTGCAGCTGTGAGCACCATGGAGACGCCAGAGTCGGCAGCTTGAGGCCAGGCCAGCCCTCTAACCCACGCCTTGCAGCTCCAGCAGCACTGACCGGCTCAGCCCGGACCCAGACACAGTGCACCTGTGACCTTGGTCACCGAACAGAGCTGGTGGCCTTGGCTTGCAGAGCCTGCCTTCAACTGTCCAGGCATGAGCAACCCCAGTCGGCCTGGGCCACCTCCTCCTGCTCAGAGGTCTTGGCCTCCGAGATGGTGTCACATCACAGGGACATTCGGCCAGATGCCACCCCTCTTCAGAACAGGCCAGAACCCAGCCTGGCCAACCCCAGATAGGAGGGGCAACAACAGGCCTTGACGCCCCCGGGGTGTCCTGAAAAGAAATGGCCACTGGTGATGTCCAGGGCCAACGAGGGCCCCATCAGCCAAGTGTGTGGTGGGCACTATGGGCGGCTGCTGCAGGTGCTGTCTTTCATAACCACACCGTCTCATTTTAAAGACACTTGTTACCGTCGGGTGAAGACGGCCACATGTCTTTAATCCCAGCATTTGGAAGGCAGAGGCGAGTTTGAGGCCAGCCTGGTCTACAGAGTGAGTTCCAGGACAGCCAGGGCTGCACAGAAACCCTGTCTCGAATAACAAAACCAGCCAGCCAACCAACCAAAGAACCCACCCATCACAAATAACCATACAAGGGGCTGGAGAGATGGCTCAGCGGTTAGAGCACTGGCTGTTCTTGAACCCGGGTTCAATTCCCAGCACCCACATGGTGGCTCACAACTGTCTATAACTCCAGTTCCAGGGCTTCCAACACCCTCACACAGACATGCATTCAGACAAGACACCAATGCACATAAAATAAAAATAAATCTTAAATAAATAAAATAAATTTAAAAAATAAGGAGGGATCAAATTGGTCCAGCTTGCCTCAGGACCCAGTCAACTCTGACTAGGCTTAAAAAAAAAGGTAAATAACCATACAAAACCCGGCCATCTCGCGCATCACCTTCCTCCCAGTGTGTCCACCTGCCCTTGCTCCCTAATGTGTGGAAGGCAGGAAGCCTGTCACCCGTGAGGCTCTGCGCCCACAGACCAGACCCCTAAACTGCCACACCAAGATCCAGAAACCTTAGACCAGAACTTGACCCCAGGCTGACACTCCCCCTTTGCCCCAAACCCTGAGCCATCCTGGCATGGGTGCTGTACACCCGGGGAAAAGCAGGTCCCCTGGGCGCGGCCAGGCCCGGAGCCTCACTGCTCACCCAGTGCCTTGCAGAGCTCTGGGTGCTTTACACCGATGGTCTTCAACCGCTGCAGCAGGTCTGAGGAGGTCAGCTGCCGCACCAGGTACAAGGCCACGGAGTAGCTCTGTGAATGGACGCGGGGTGGTCGGGGTCAGTGTGGGGCAGAGGGGTGCTGGACGCGGGGTGGACGGGGTCAGTGTGGGGCAGAGGGGCGCTGGACGCGGGGTGGACGGGGTCAGTGTGGGGCAGAGGGCTGCTGGACGCGAGGTGGACGGGGTCAGTGTGGGATGATGGGGTGCTGGACGCGGGGTGGACGGGGTCAGTGGGGCAGGGGGTGCTGGACGCGGGGTGGACGGGGTCAGTGTGGGATGATGGGGTGCTGGACGCGGGGTGGACGGGGTCAGTGTGGGGCAGAGGGGCGCTGGACGCGGGGTGGACGGGGTCAGTGTGGGGCAGAGGGGTGCTGGACGCGGGGTGCTCACCTTGCCATAGTTACCCCAGGTGACAGTGATGCGGTTGGTGGCCGAGGACAGATACATGAGGTGGGTGAGGTTGATGGGTCGGCAGGGTCTCTTGGGTTCCACACCAGGCTTGTTGGAGGGGTAGTAGCCCTGTGGGCAGAGCCGTCAGGCTGAGCCCCACTCGGTCCCCATCTCTCCCCCTGTGCAGGTCACCCACTCCCCGGGCTGCCATGGCCTTGCTCACCGGCACTGAGCAGTAGCTGTGGTTAACCTTCACAGCGATGTTGGGTGGGTACTGATCTTCCTGTGGACAGCTGGTGTCAGAGTAACAGATCCTGGGGAGACAGGGACACGGGGCTGTGAAGACAAGCGGCAGCAGAGGGGTGCGGGGGTGGACAGCGTGGGGGGGCGTGCAGAGAGGTGGGGGCCGGGGCGTTGCTCTCGTACCTCAGCACCACCTGCACGGCTTTCACTCCCGGCTGCAGCTCTCTGTGGGCAGGGCACAAGGCAGGAGTCAGCGGGCAGCGTGGACCACCCAGGAGCACTCCCCATGGTCACCATGTGAGTAAGTGGCCACAGGACAACAGCATTCCCAGGCCACGCCAGGAAGAATCTCTGTCCATCGCAGGGGTGAGGAAGGAGGCGGGCAGAGGACCTGGCCACACCCCAGCCTGACCTCTGTCCTGCCAAATGGGGCAGGACACAGTCACGACTGCAAGGCAGCCAGTGGCCAGGACAGCCCAGACTAGCCTGACGTGCGCAGACTGGCTGCTAGAGGCCCGGGGCTTCACCAAGCACCTCACACTAGGGCCACCCACACCATCTTGTCCAAGGCACCCTGGGGACATCTGCAGAGGAGTGTAGCTGGGGTGGTCCTGGCATGCAGAGGGTGGATGTGTGGGGTCCCACACGCAATGTCTTGGCCCAGGTGATCCCATGGCCCCACACAGGTGGGCACATGACAGAGGAGCTGCTCGTGTGGACACACCTGGAGTTGCGGATCATCTCCACCTGCCTGGGCGTCAGCGCGAAGACGCACGGACTCTCCTGCAGCTTCTCTGCACTCTGTGGGACTGAACACGCACGGGTCAGGCCGCCAGCCCTCTCTGCCTGGGATTCAGGGGCCATGCCCCGGCCCCTCCAACGCGGGGTCCCTTTGGGGCCGCTCATCTCCTTAGGCCACCACCACTTCACCCGCAGCCTCCAGCAGGCGGCCGGGCTCCAGGGCAGACTGCTGGCCTAGTGTGCAGGAGGCCCCTGGTCCTTTTCCAGCAGAGGGCTCTGACCCCGTGTGGACATGTGACACAGCTGTGGCTGCTGTGGCAGAGCAGCCACAGCAGGCCTCTGAGGAGAGGGGCACTGCGGGGTGCAGGCCAGCCACCCCAGTATGCGGGAGCTGAAGCACGAGGATCTTGGACTCAAAAACCAGCCTCAGTCCAGGCTGGGTCTGAGGCCCAAGGGCAGAGCCGTGGGCAGCAGGCCCCGAGTCCCACCTAGCACTCAAGCCCAACCACCGCCCCGTCAGGTGGCACTCCCTGTCTGGCCACAGGCACTCCCAGCGGATGAGGACCCCAGATGCTAAGTTCCTGTGACACCCTGTTTACAAGAAGTGCTGACGCTGGGTGGGACTGGCCTGGAACCTTCTGAACCAGGCTGTGGGAGCAGCCATAGTGAGTGTAGGCAGGTTCGGGAGCTGGGAGGTGGGGTAGCTCAGGTGAGGGACGGTCACACCTGCCCAGCCCAGGATCATGTAGCGAGCCCATGGGTCCCTGAATGGTGAACGCTGGTGGTGGATGTGTATCTGTAGGGCCTGAGGGACGAGCTGGAGCTCAGGGCCACCTGGGCACGCTCAGATCTGTCAGGCCTGGAGTAAACCCCCTAAGGGAGGTTGGGGAGAGCCCAGCAGGGCCATGGCATGCACCTGAGCTGGCACAGGCTGGGTAGGAGTTGGGGCCCATCTACCCTCCCAGGGGGTGCTGTAGTATAGGGGCAGGGATCAAGCAGGACCCAGGCTGCCAGGTGTGCTCACTGCTGGGGTGGGCCCCACCCCCTCTGCTGCTCCAGGGGGCCGCAGGGTGTTCCCCAAGCCAGTGCTTCTGCCATGGCTGTCGGCCCCCTCGTCCAACAGCCAGGTAGAGCAGTAGCCCCTCTGTGTCTGAGACACTGAGCGCAGGATCTCCTCAGCAGCACCAGCTGGGACTGAACTCCTCCTTGGTAGCCTCCCTACCCAATACCCACCCCTATTTCTCCCAAGGGTCTCACTTTATAACCCAGCTGGCCTTGGACTGCCATCCTCCTGAGAACATGATCAAACTGCAGGACTGGTTGTGAGGAGCTGGGAACCACACACACAGCCTCCCCGCTCTGCCTGTCCACACCATCAACTACTTTCACTTTCTCTGGGCCACGGCAGCATGGACTGTGGGTGAGGGCCACAGCAGACACTACACACGGATGGCGGAAGCACAGATGCTGAGGACCCACAGCCACCCTCCACAGCATGCCTGAGGCAGGGCGCACACCAGCCATCACAAAGACCCAACAGGGCAGGTGGGGACCAGGACAGGGCACCCAGGCCCTTCACGTTCATGTGGCCCCTCTTAGCCTGTGCACTCCAGGACTGGAGGGCGGGTGTTGAGGACCCAGAAGCAGCTTTGGGTACCCCTCAGCACCATGAGATAGCGACCCCTGTCACTGCCTCAGGTTCAGACATTCTCACCAGGGGCTGTGGTGACGAGTGTTCAACTCTGAACTAGCTGGTTTCATGGGGAGGGTCAAGGCGAATGGTGGGGGCCCAGCATGCTTCAGGGGAGCCATCAGAAGGCAGCACAGTGGGCCTGTGTGTGTCCTGGTTGTCAGGACAGCATGGAGACCAGCACTGGGAACAGGTACTACCCAGCTCCACCGTGGGACTCGGGTGGGTGGGCAGGAGCGAAGCAAGGGTTGTCGCTCACCTGTGCCGCTGGCCTGCTCCAAATCAGTGACCTGAACTGTGTATCAGAGGGCGAGGGGGACACCAGGTGCGGGGGCATGTGTCTGTCAGCCCAGCACTGGGGAGGCAGAAGCAGGTGGATCTGAGGTTCAAGGTCAATCCTGCCTACATAACAAGTTGGGCCAGCCTGGGCTACCTAAGACCCTGTCTCAAAACACGGCACACAAAAAAAATCATGCAAAAGATGAAAACAGACAAAGGCAATACTGGAAAGAGCTATCGTGGAGGAGACCTCTTAGGGCAGGACATTAGGGGTGCCTTGAGGACAGGCATCGACCAAAGGGCCTGGGGGGTAAGTGTGGCAGGCCAATGTAACCCACGCAAAGGCCCCGGGGCAGACAGAGCCTGACAGGTCTCCCCACAGTCAGCAAACGCTTTGGGGTGGGCCTCCGATCCTAGCACAAGGGCAGAGGCTAGAGCAGTGGTTCTCAACCTGTGGGTCATGACCTTTCACAGGGGTCACATAAGACCACTGGAAAACACAGATATCTACACTCGTAACAGTAGCAAGATTACGGTTATGAAGTAGCCACAAAGTAATTTTATGGTTGGGGTCAGCACAGCATGAGGAACTGCACTGAAGGGTCACAGTGTCAGGAAGGGTGAGAACCACTGCTCTAGAGGAACAGGTTCCAGGCCAGCCTAGGCCACACTGTTAGCCCTGCCTCAAGAGCTACGTCCCCAAACAAGAGCGACAGCACGCTCGCCCTGGTGTGGACAGCAAGGGACGGTGGCAGGGAGCCAATGAGGCCGACGTCCCAGGGACCTCCGCAGGCCCAGAACTGACACTCCTGCCCCTACACTGCTTCCTTCAGCTCAGATGACCTCAGGAGCCCCACCTTAAACCCCCTCTCCCAGGAAGCCCCCCAGCTACACATCCCTCCCCATCTGGTCCGGCACCATCCTCACTTCCGCCCTGGGCTCAGACGGGAGAGTCCTAAGCCAGTTCTGCTGCCTTGGATCTGCCTAGCCAGGGAGTGGGAGAAATCCCCAGGGCTCCTGCAGACAAGGGTGCAGGGTGAAGCCTGGGGGAGGGGCTCAGGCCGCTGGGTCCCTGCATGCGCCCCTTGCTCTCTCTGGTCACCAGCCCTCTTTAAACGGGCTGTCAGTGTGCCCTGGTCTGCAGCTCATCTGTGGCCCTCCCCCCGCCCCCTCTGGGTACTCAGGTGATTTATGGGTTCTGTCTGCTAGGCACAGGCTGAGCAGGCGGCTTTTCCGGGGGATCCTACAGGAGCACGGGGCTCATTCTGGCCTGGGCAAGGGGCTGGCCACTGTGAACTGGCATGGCGGGCTCATGCTGGGGAGGGCCCAGGCCAGGGTGGGGCAGGTGTGTGAAATCCTACGTTTTAGAGCTTGAGGGATCACGGCCTCACACCCAGCATCAGAGCTCCCAATCCAGCAACCCTCAGGGTGTGGGACCCAGGGAAGGGGGTGCCCTGGTGGGGAGGCAGGCGGGGCGGGCTAGTCTCTTTGTTCAAGCTGCTGGTGTAGACAGGGGAGCACGCTCTCCCGGAGATCAGGTGACCAGGGTCCCTGGGGGCTCAGGGCACAGCGATGCATTGTGGGGCTGGCTTGCTCTGCAGGAAGGAAGCCCGCCATGCAGGCTGGGAGGCTGAGGGTAGGGGGCAATCTCCTGGCACTTGGGTCATCCTTAGGACGATACCCAGTCAGCTTGGCCCCAAGCTGCCAAGAGCTGTGGAGACCTTGGGGGAGGCCGCACTTGAAGCAGGGCAGAAAGGAATGGTGGCCAGCGCCTTTCAGCTCCAAGGGTGTCAAGGAAGGAGGAGCCTCAGGCCAGGGGTGGAGCCTCCAGTCAGGGGGTGGGGCCTTCTCAGGTGCTTGCAGCAGCACAACTGAAACAGGGCCCAAGTCCCAGGACAAGGGGGACGTGGCCTGCTGCAGCGGAAGGATGACGGTGGGAGTGAAAGGGAAGTCTCCTGAGAGCAGGCTGCAGGCAGGGAGGCCTCTGAGCACCATGTGGGGTGACACAAGAAACAGCCCATCCTGGAGCCTGCCAAGTATTGGGGTCCAACCTCTAGCTCTAGAAAGAGGCGGGCAGAAGAGACAGTGAGGGACAAGGAAGTGTCTCTAGGGGCGCTGGGTACCTGAGAAAGCCCCAGGTCCTAGAGGCGCTGGGTACCTGAGAAAGCCCCAGGTCCTAGAGGCGGACCCATTAAAAGGCCGGGACCTCCTGCTCTGAGGCCTGCCAGGTGCAGAGCTAAGGGCAGACCCCACTCGACGCCACAGCAGCACAGGGGGCCACCTCTGCCCCCCGAGGATGGGTCTGCCGGTCTGTGCTGTCTGATAGTTGACAGCTCAGAACACAGCTAGCTCCACTTAAATCTGCTTTTCGTTGTTTTGAGATAGGGTCTCATGTAGCCCAGGCTGGCCTCAAACTCACTGTGTAGCTAAGGATGACCTTGAACTCCTTGAATTCTTCTCCCATCTCCAGGTGCTGGAGGTAACTGGACTTTGCCGCCATGCCCAGATTTTGTTCTTTTAAAAATCAGGGTCTATTTGCCCAGGCTAACCTCAAAATCATGGCACACCTCTTGCCTCAGCTTCCTGAGAGCTGGGATAAGAGGTGTGTGCCACCACACCTGGGTGCTAGGGATGGTGCTCCCGGCTCCGTGCATGCTAGTGAGTGCTCTGCTCACTGGTACCGACATCCTCAGCCAGCGCTCTTTGGTTGTTGTTGTTTAGAAGCCATTTCACTGTGGTGACATGTTTGTAATCTAAGAAATAAAGCTTGCCTGAAGATCAGGGGACAGAGCCAGCCACAGACGTTCGGGTTGCTCTCCTGCAGAGGTTCTGTTAGGCTGAGGAGTTGGTGAGGTAAGAGGTGGTGGCTGTGGCTTGCTCTGCTTCTCTGATCTTTCAGCTTTCACCCTGACATCTGGCTCCAGGTTTTCACTATAAGACCATTTAGGATTCATGTAACATTTCACTCTGTAGTTCAGGCTAGCCCAGAACTCACCATTCTCCTGCCTCAGCCCCTAAGTGCCGAGATGGCCAGTGTGACCTGCCATGCCTCCCTACAGCATATATTTTAAGCTGCTAGGTTTGGGGTGGCTGATCATGTGGCACAGTGGCTGAGCCGACTGTGGGGATCCCCCGGCCGAGACCCACCACTCACCCAACTCGGTGGGCTTCAGCAACTCGTCCAGCATGTTGAAGAAGGGCAGCTTCACCAGACGCACCTCTGGCTTAAGGGCCTTGGTGGGCAGGCGTCCGAGTCCGTTCAAGTACTTCCCGTATAGCACGGGGTAGTCCACGGTGGGTCCTGACAGGGGAGTCCTGGGCATGGGGTGCAGGGCCAGGGGGTCCAGGGGCCGCGGCGCCTGAGGGCCGGGCTCCACGCTCTTCTTGGCATAGCGTGTCTCGTACAGCTCTTTGATCTTCTTGAAGAGCTCCGGGCTGCAGTCGAATTGCACCAGCTGCAAGGCCCTGGTCACCAGCTCGTGCTTCAGCCCACTCTTGCTGCGGCCCACGAAGCCCAGCAGCATCTGCAGGTCCGACACTCGGAAGCTCATCACCATGTTCTGCGGAAGGGTGACCACAGCGGCTCTCAGCGGGTAACCTCTACCCTGCCTTGGTGGCAGCCACCAGACCCCGCCCCCCTCCACGGCCTCCTCTCTGACCTCGAGTCTCCTCTTCTGGGAGGCATACAAGAAACAGAAGGCCTGCCCACCCTGGTCATGGCAGGTGCACGGCCACATCCTCAGCTATGTTCCCTCAGACAGCCCTGATGGAGTGGCAGAAGCTCACACTGCAGACAGGAGGTGTCAGGCCTGAAGCCCTGGTGAGGCCCTCTTTAACACACTTCCCATGTGTGCTGACCTAAACTAGGGATGGCATGCTAGTCTCAGACGAGGCCCCTGGGGCACTGTGGACTGGGCCAGGCCTTACAGTGCAGTGCTCTGGACCCTGTACCTGGTCTCCACCCAACTATGGCAGGAGTTCCCCCAGGCACCACCCAGGGCACCCAGGAGCAGGATGGGCCTACGTGAGAACAGCTGGTCCCTGAAACCAAGCACCTGCACACGTACGTCAGTGACCAAGCTGGTGACGTAAGTGTCAGAGGATGGACAGGACAAGGGATAGACCTATCAGGGTCCCTCAGGTGAAATGGCACCAACCAGCAGGGTATCCCAGAGTGGCACCTGGGCCCTTGGGTGGGTGGCCTGCACTCACAACAGCTGACACCTGGGCATGGCAGGTCCCCACCGGTGGAAAGCAATCCCTGGGAGCCAGGCCAGCCAGGCCCTGGGACCTGCTGTGTTCAGTCCTGCTGCTGGCCTGGACTAAATGAAAGCCGGAGGCAGAATGGGACTTCCACGGGACTGGCTGATGGCCCACGTGGCAGGAGGAGACACAGGCGGCTGACTCAGGCCCTGAGCCCCAAAAGAAGCCTGCAAGACACAGAAAGGCCACCCCACAAGCCCAGAGGCCGGAGCCCCAGGGATCCAGCCCATTTGGTGGCTACCTGGCCACTTGGGGCACAAGGCCCTGGGGAGCAAGAGCAGTGTCCTGGGGGGCCCCAAAAAGCACCTGGGACTTGGGGGTACCAGTACTACAGCATGACCTAAGGCCTCCTGGTACAATGGGCTGGGCTGGAGTTTGGCCCAGGGGCTACCAGAATTTTCAGAGCTCCTGTTGGGGAGCCGTGACTTTCCAGGGACTCCACGGTAAGTGGCCCTTGGGCACTGTCGACATGGCCCTGAGCTCCCACCTCGTGCAGGGTCTCGCAGCACACTCAGCAGTTTGTACTAGAACAGGCCCAAACCCGAGACCAAAAGAGGGGTGCACTGAGGGGGAGCTGGCCGCGATGGTCCAGCCAGAGCCAGGGGGCTCTGTGGCCCCTGCAGATGTCCAAGAGTCCTGTCACCCAGGACGGATGGCAAGCATCCCAGCAGCCAGGTCGCTGCCATATGGTCTGGGTCGGGTTTCTCAGCAGCTGCTCTGCCCAGAGCAGCCTGCTAGGGACAGCAGGGCACTAGGACAGGAGCACAGGAAGAAGCCTCCATCCATCTCCCGGAGCGTACTTCCCGCCCTGGCACCAGCTACCAGGCTGGGTTTATAAACAGTACCAAGGCTTCTAGAGCATTCAGCTTGGGGCCCCGATGAGAAGCGACACCCCAGGCAGACAGAAGTGGATGCACTCAGCTGTGTCACGAGCCCAGGCTCTTCAGAAAGCTGAGACCCTTGACATGGGGCCAAAGGATGAAGGTGGCGTTCAAACCTACTGAAGGGACTTCTGAATGGTCCATTCATTCACAAATGCCATGATCGCCTCCCATAAGCCCCAGTGGAACCCAAAAGACAGAATCTCCAGCCCACTGTGACACATTATAGGAAAGCTACTGGAAGAATGGAGTGTCTCCATCACACTCAGGGCAGTGTGGGGTTGTGACACAGGGGTCCCTCCGGACCTGCATTAGTTCACCATTACAGAGATTCAAAGGGTCAAGTTCAACTGAGGTATGACAGGGGGTCCAGAGGGTCAAGCAGAAGGGGAGGTCAAGCCATTGAGGGAGGAGGTGGACACAGAGGCTTGGGCTCCCCTCAACGCTTCAGGATGCGACAGGGACTGCAAGCAGTAAGACTGTGCCTGGGACCCGTACAGGTCACATGTTCCCATCCCGAGTGTCTCAAAACTCTGACTACGTATATGGTACACATCTTGGGTCCATGGATGGGGGAAAAGAGGAGTACACTTTTTAATCTGAGCCTCTAGAATCACCCCAAAGGTCCAAGTGGGGAGAGAAGAGCCATGTAACAAGAGAACCAGGAAAGAAGGGGTGCAAGTTTTGACCTTATGGGTGGGAAGATGTCTAAGGGACACTGAGGTCCAACAGTAACTCAGGAGGGACGAGTGTGCTGGGAGCACTGGATGGATGCTGAGCCACGCCTCAGGGAGGTTTAACAGGGACAGAGCCCTGTACCTCAAAGCAGAAATGGGGGGGGGGACAGGCCTAAACAGTCCTCCCTTGGACTCAGTCAAGGGATCCTATGAGGACCAGCCTGGGGAGCAACACAGGAAAAAAGGGGGTGGAGGGTCCTGTGGGCTACACCAGGGAACAGCGAAACCCCACAGGATGATTCACCAGGATGTAGAGGTTAGAGGTGGGGTGCGGTGGCAGGATCACTGGGGAATGAGGTACCCCACAGACGATTTGACCTCCAGAGGGGAACCGGGTACACAGGACTTAAAACAGGGCCGGGGACCTTCCCAAGACTCGGAAGTAACAAGGAGCCAGGGGGACAGGGGAGGCAAGGGGGCAGCCAGTGTGTAAGGAGGCAAGTGTCACAAGCGGGGAGCGGTTCTCGAGGGCTCGGAGACTCTAAAATGAGCCCGGGCACTTCAGAGTCGGACTGAGTCTGGAGTCTGACTTATTCAGTAGAGGGAGGTGTCGGAGGGGACCCCGAGAATCAGAGGACTTGTGGCACTCCCCGAGACCTTCCCCATGCTGTCCCGGAGGGGAGGAGAGATGGGGGACCCGGACCTAGTCCTCCTCGTTGCCTTGGAAACGGGATGGACAAGTCACTCTCTGCATTCCTTGGGCTTGGGAGACCACAGGGGACCCCCCCCAGGTCTGTCCCAATGGGGCTGTCCCAAAGGGAGGGACAGTGCCTGCACCGGGGAAGCCGTGTCCCCACACCGCAGGAGCCTTCAGCTCGGGTCGCAAATGGAGTGACAGGAGCCGGCGGGGACAGTCCGAAGACGGTGCTGGCGACCCCGCCCCCGGTCTCCCCGCCCCCCGCCCGGAGCCTCAGCCCGCGTCCCGGTCGCGCCCTCGCCGGCCCGCACTGCCACAGCCCGCACCGCTCCCTCCCAGCTAGGTGCGAGGCGCCGTCCGCACCGCGCCACCGCCCGGCCCCGGCCCGCGCCACCGCCGCTCACTCACTTTGGCCTCCACCAGCTCTGCCGCCATCTTGGCCACTAGCGTCCCCCGCGCCGGGAGGCCCCAGCCGCCGCGTCACGTGACCGCCCTCGCCTGGAGGGCGGGGCCTGCGCGAGAGCCAATGAAAGCTCTCGCTGGCTCCTCCCCCCACGCCCCCGCGTCTGGGAGGCGGGAGGCTGCGTCGTGCGCACGCGCGCCCAGGCGCCACCGCCCGAGGATCTGACCAATCACAAGGGACAACTGCCAAACTCCGCCCCTGTGCTTATTTTTCAAGGTGCTGCCTTAGCCACGCCCCTCGGGGGAGGAGTCTAGCTTCTTAAAGGCGTAGTAGCCCTATCCGCAGCATCATTTTCCTTGCTCTTGCGGAGTGTGCGCCTACAGTTCTCCTGCTTTAAAAAAGAAAAAAAGACGTTTATTTATCCATTTAATGTGTACATGTGTGGAAGTCAGAGAACAGTAAAGGAAAGTAGGTTCTCCAGGGATGAGGTCCTCGGGCTTGGCCCCAAACACCTTCATGCCCCGTGCCCTCTCACTGGCCCCACCTTTTTCGCTCGGCCCCCTGCCTCGTTTTCAATTGGACTCCTGGGGGCAACGAAACTAGTCCTTTGTTTTTATTTTTGAGGCAAGGTCACCACGCACCCTGGCTGTCCTGGAATTTATGTAAACAGGCTGGCCTCAAACTCAGATGTGCTGGGATTAAAGGCGTGCCCTACAACGCCCGCAATAGTCTGTTTACGGGCATAGAAGCCCCTCCAGCTGCCTCCAGTTTTTGTTGGCCCGAGGCCACGCCCACTCTCGTGTGGTCTCTTCTGTTTTTGGGTGTCAAGAGGCTTTTCAGCCGGCCGGGCGGTGGTGGCGCACGCCTTTAATCCCAGCACTTGGGAGGCAGAGGTAGGAGGATCTCTGTGAGTTCGAGGCCAGCCTGGTCTACAGAGTGAGTTCCAGGAAAAGGCGCAAAGCTACACAGAGAAACCCTGCCTCGAAAAACCAAAAAAACAAAAACAAAAAACTAAGAAAGAAGTTGGTTTTTCATCTTCCACCATATGGGTTCAAGGAATCGAACTCGGGTAGTCGGGTTTGGAGACAAGTGCGAGGGGGTGGGGGTGCGCGCGTTCCACGCCTCCCGTGTGGACGCTGGAGGTCATTTTGCTGGAATTACTTTCTCCTTTAACCACGTGTCGCCAAAAGGGTCCCAAGGCTCGAACTCCTGGTAGTCAGGCTTGTGAGCAAACTGCCGAGCCGGGGTGAGCCATTCCACAGGCCCCGCCCCCATCCTGGTTCCCATTGCCGGCGCAGCGACCACGCCCACTCCCGGATGAGCTCTGCCTTTTCAAAGTGCGCAAGCACCGCCCCGCGCTTCCGCTTCACGGGGCGGGGCCTCGGCCACCCCGAGGGGGGGCCCTTAAAGGCGTACGCTCTTCCCACCCTCGCTCTTCGGTGGCTCTTGCTTGCTACTGCTCGTCCTTTGGAGGGAGGGAGAGTTTGGGATGAACGGAACGCGGCCAGGCAGGTGTCGCTGTTCCGCGCGAGCAGCGGCTGGCAGGTGCAGCTCTCCCTTGGCCGAGTGGGATGGGGTGCTGCGCTCAGCCCGTCCTGCGCGGTGCACATCCGGGTTCCGCGTGCACATGGTTGGCTCGCTCCAAGCAGCACAGACGCACAGCCCCAAAACTGCCAATATAACTAATATGAAGCTGGGAATATCACTAATATTCCCAGCAACTGAGAGGCTGAGGCAGGAGGATTGGTAGTTTGAGGCCAGCCTGGGCAATAAAGAAAGACCTACGTGTCAAAGAAAAATATTTTACCTTCCCTTCTTTGGGGTGAACGTGTGCGTGATAGCATTCAGGTCACACTCTCCTGCAGGCCACTCAACCCCATTTGTCCGGACTAGATGTAAAAACTACCAGAGCTTCGTACCAACCCTGACCTCTCAAAAGCCCCTTTGCCTCCATAGATATAGATTTAAACTGTTTTGTTTTGAAACCGGGTTTCACAAAGCCCGGGCTGGCCTGGAAATTCCCTATGCAACCCCGGATCTATCCCTGAGTTTCTGATTCTCCAAGTGCTGGGATAATAGGCATGGAACACCACACCTTATATGATATGGAGGATCAAGCCGGGGTCCATGACTGCCAAGCACGCACACCACCAGCTGAACCCTGGCCCCTCTTGTACTCTTAATTTTTTTTAATATTTTTAAATTTTATTTTATGTGTCTGTGTGTTTTGTCTGCCCGCATGTGTGCATGGTACCTACAGAGGTCCGACCACCTGGATCTAGTTACAGAGGGTTGTAAACTACCAGGTGGGTGCTGGGAACTGAACCTGGGTCCTGTGCAAGAGCAGCCAGTGCTCTTAACCACCAAGCCATCTCCCTGCTATCCATATCCATCTCCCCAGAGTTGTACTCCATTGTGTGTGTGTGTGTGTGTGTGTGTGTAGTCCCCCCTGTCCTGAATCTCGCTCTGTAGCCCAGACTGGCCTTGAACTCGCAGAAATCCACCTGCCTCTGCCTCCTGAGTGCTAGGATCAAAGGCGTGCACCACCACCGCCCGGCTCATAGTGTACTCCCTGAGGTAGGATCTCTCCCTAGGTGGCTTGGCACTCCTTAGCTATAGACTGGCCTTGAGTTAATTGTTAGCAATTCACCTGCCTCAACCTCCTGAATTCCAAGATGATGGTGTGAGCCACAGTTATCTTGCTTCTGTAAATAGGCAGCATAGGAGCAGTTTATTGCATGGTGACGTGGGGTGTGCTTAACACAGTGGGGAACAGGGGCAGTGCCCAAGGGACCATTCAGTCTGCTGCTTTTGTGGCTTTGTTTCTGCTTTTGTTTATTTTCATTTTTCAAACAAGGGCTCATCTCACCAAATCACCTTGGCTGGTCCGGACTGGACCCCACCCCACTGTGTAGACCAGTCTGGGCTTCAAATTAGAGATCTGCCTGCTTCTGCTTCCAGGGTGCTGGGATTAAAGGTGTAAACCAAAACCAAAGGGCAGTGGTGTCCAACACCTTTAGTCCCAGCCCTCGGGAGGCAGAGGCAGGTGGATCTCTGTGAGTTTGAGGCCAGCCTGGTCTACAGAGTGAGATCCAGGACAGCCAGGGCTACGCAGTCTTGAAGGGGGAAAAAAAAAAAGCATGTGCCACTGTTGTTGTTTTACTCTTTTGGCTCTTTGGGGGCCCCCGCCACCCAGCTCCCAGATAAGTCACACATGGAGGCTCATTCTTTGTTATAAATGCCTGGCTTTGGCTTGGCTTATTTCTTGCCAGCTTTTCTTAAATCATTCCGTCTACCTTTTGCCTCTGGGCTTTTATCTTTCTCTTCCTTCTGTAAATCTCACTCCTATTCCGTGGCTGGCTGTGTGGCTGGGTGGCTGGGTGGCTGGGTGGCTGTGCGGCTGTGTGGCTGGGTGGCTGGGTGGCTGTGCGGCTGTGTGGCTGGGTGGCTGGGTGGCTGTGCGGCTGTGTGGCTGGGTGGCTGGGTGGCTGTGCGGCTGTGTGGCTGGGTGGCTGGGTGGCTGTGCGGCTGTGTGGCTGGGTGGCTGTGCGGCTGGGTGGCTGGGTGACTGGCCTCTGGCACCCTCCTCTCCTTGATCTCTTCCTGTGTCTTCTTTTCTTCTTGCTCTACCCAGATTTCTCCCTCTATGTATTCTCTCTGCCTGCCAGCCTCTCCTATCCTTTCTCCTGCCTTGCTATTGGCCGTTCAGCTCTTTATTAGACCATCAAGTGCTTTAGACAGGCCCAGTCACACAGCTTCACAGAGCTAAACAAATGCAACAGAAAAGAATGTAACCATCTTTGCGTCATTAAAAAAATGTTCTACAGCATAAATAATTGTAACACACCTTAAGATAATATTCCACAGCGTGCCACCACTGCACAGAAATGTTTCTTTTTTGAATCTCTTAATTTTTGGAAATATGGACTGTAAGAATTACATTAAGACATAGACTCTAAGTGTTGCTTAGGAACTTTAACCCCAGCACATGGGAGGGAAAAAAAAAAAACTGACAAAGCAGAAAGTCCCCTAACAAAGCAGAGCGGCTGGGCAAGGGTTTCCTGTAAAAAGCGCGGGCCAGCACGCAGGGGCGGAAGCGCACCGTCTTTTGTTCTCGGTGGTCGCTGTGTTTCGCCCAGCATGTGACGTGGAAATGTGGTCCCATGTAGTTAGGTGACAGAGACAGGAGGAACCCTGGGCTCGCGTGGCCTGTGTGCCCTGCAGAAATGGGCGAGGTGCTGCCAACAGTGACTCTCACCAATAGGTGGAGGAGCAGTTCCCGCGGTCACGGCCGCGCTCCACTCTTTTTATTTGAGACAGGGTTTCTCTGTGTAGCCCTGGGTGTCCTGGAACTCATTCTGTAGACCAGGCTGGCCTGGAAATCAGAGATCCACCTGCCTTTGGCTTCCTACCACGTGGAATTAAGGGTGTGGCCACTATCCCTTGGTTCCACTTTGGTTTACTTATTTATTTGCTTTTGTTTTTTTGCGACAGGATTTCCCTGAGTTTCATTCATTCATTCATTCATTCATTCATTCATTCATTCATTCATTCATTCATTCATTGTTTTTGTTTTTTGAGACAGGATTTCCCTGAGTAGCTTTGGAGCCTATCCTAGAACTAGCTCCTTAGACCAGGCTGGCCTCGAACTCACTGAGATCCGCCTGCCTCTGCCTCCCAAGGGCTGGGATTAAAGGCGTGCACCACCGGCGCCCCGCTCCACTTGGTTTTGGGGGCAGATTTTGTCCCTGAACCTGTCGCCCACTGGCTGGGGCCCCGCCACTGGGATCTTCGGTCTCAGCCTTCCACGTGCCGCAATGGT